TCTGCCATGACAGTACTGTGATAGTGATATAGCAGCTGCAGCAGTAGATGAAGTACAAACAGCAACAGTAGTGATAATAATTAGTCCTGGCCAAAGTAGTACTATGAGTAGCAGTGGCAGCAGCCGTACAAGCAGCAACAGTATTAGAGAAACTCGTAACTCTATGATGCAATAATAGTTGCAGCAGCTGTCTTTGTACTGAGTACTGGTTGTAGTAGAAGTGATAAAAGTTCTATTGGGGCTGCATGAGTTTGGAAAAAAAATAGTCATATTTTGTCTTTTCATGATATATATTTAAACATAAAAAATGTAGGAATGTTCTTCCAAAAATTAATTCTATTTTAAAAGCATTCATTATTCTAGAATGATTCCAATAATTTTGTGGGGGAGTACATCTGCACAGAAACTTTGAAAAAAATAAATAAATAAATAAAAATCTAAAAAAAAAAAAAATCTGTTTGGAACCTTCCTCATTTGGTATATGACTGGCCAAGAAATCCAAACTAGGTTTTAGGTCTGGATGGCATTCAATTTTGGCTTTGCACTATGGAACGGACAAACAACGAGTTGTTTCCTCATCTAGTGGTAACAATTTCAAGACACTGCTGACAGAGTATCTGTATTTGTTCAACATCATCTTTTCTGTTGCCAAAATATTACAATACAACCCATCAGGGCTGCACAGTTAGAGCCAAAATGATAATAATTTGTTTTGTTGGTTTGTTCTATCTTCTCAGGTTACTTCTGTACCCATGAGCCCTTTTCACATTCATGCTGAGTGATTTATTTCCAAAAATGGAAAGAACTCCATATCAATATTTTATCCATTCTTTATATGACCTACCTTTATTTTGTATTTGAGTAATACCTAGGGTGACTACCACTGGCAGGTGGATATAGGGGTGATTAGATAAAAGCCCGGCGCTACTTTTGTCTCATTGTCCTTTTTTGATTTTAACTTGAAATGCCTCAAGTAGCAAAAACATTAGTTTCACTCTAACGTTAAAATATTTTTGGAGGACAGTACCTTTGGAGACAAAGAGAGATTCAGCATGATTCTCCACTAGCTGTACATCACTCTTGTCACTTTTCCACTGTGAACATTAAGTGCCATTTATTTGGAGAATGTGAACTTTTTTTTTTTTAATATGGGCATCAACTTCTAGTGGACAGTGGCATATTTAAGGGGAAAAAAAGTCTCTGGTTTCCCTCTAGGGAATTGCATCAGACCCCCCATCCAAGTAGAAACTTCTTGGGCATTCTTCATAATTGGGTACAAGATGCCTAACCTCACGTTAGTATCTAGTACAGAAAATTATACAAGCTGTTTTCAAAGGAAACAACAGTCAACTTTGTGTTCCTTCAAAACACAAGGTGGCTACTTGTGACTTCATACCCCACGCTCACACTAATCAGAGAAAACAATAAAACCAACTGCTAGGAGTTTAACAGCTCTGACTCATCGTGGCCTGGACTCCGCAGATCTCTGAAGGTGTCAAGCACCAAGACATTAGCTGCAGATCCTCTAGGTCCTGCAGGTTGCGAGTTCTTTCAATCATTCGTAGACAATTGTGACTATTTCATATTTTATTTAATTAGAGTTCATCCATTTATCAATTTGTTTGCATTTCCACATGTTTCTCTGTTGTTTATGTGCTCAGTTTTCAATAGGGATTGACCAATAACAATTTTCTGGGGCAATTCCAATACTGATTTTTAGTAATCCGGGAGACTGACAACCAATAATTGAAACTGACATATGTTTGCAAGAAAAGTGAAAATCTTGGTTGTCACTGTGCTGTGTCTCTCAGTTTAAACTTAATAAAATCTACAACAAACAAATACTTCTGATTGTCTTTTAAATTACATTATAACTTCTGGTGGCAGTGAATTCCCCAAAACATGCGTTATTAAAGAGACACAGATGTGGAAGTCATCAGTGATCAGCTCTTCACCATCATTCCTAACACCTCACCTGAATCTGCACAGGATGACCATGGCTGTGGTGAGAGAGACCAGAGAGGTGCTGTAGCCCACAGTGTACAGAGCCTTCACTGACACATAATACATATCCTGAAATAGGAACATAAGAACAATTTTTATTTTTTAGAAAATTGTGTTTCGCATAAAAAAATGTCCAAAACTCTGACTTAGTCACAGCTGCAGGTGCAGGTGGTGTTAAACTCACCGGGTGGCTGCTATTTCCTTCCTCGTACAGGCAGGCATCGATGTAGTGGGGGAAGGGCTCCGACCAGCCAAACTCAGTGCAGTTACGACTCACCGTCCCCAGTTCTGTGGAAACACACAACACTTTATTTGATTACAGCAAACTCAGGCTTATTTCTAGAGTGAAGTCAGGAAGCAACGCAGACCTTCTCAGAGTGATTATTTCTGCAACATCTGGAGGTGAACAAGTCAAGGTCATGCGTGGTAGCTATATCTATAATACCAAGCCAAGTCTATCATATAGACTTTGATTGGATTGTTTTGCTGAACATTTGTGCTTCAATCAATCTTTAGCCCTCTAGGTGGTGGCTGCTGTTTTTATTTTAGGGCCGCTTGCTTTACAAATTGTATAAAACTTCTGTACCATAAGATACAAAGTAAAGGAACAGATATTACATTTTCACCAATTGCTGGGCTGTGACAATGCCCCAAAATACTACAAATATATAACCCTTTAACATACACATTTCCCCTTTTATTTCCCCTTTAGTAGTTTTAAGGTTGTCCCAAATTCCCTATCCCTAATTGTTTGACAGTATCAGCTTGTTATAACTCTTCAATACAGCTATAAGATGATTACTTTTTAGAGACATTTTTTTTCTCCCTTGATGACTAAATCATATTTCATCTTTGTCCAACAGAAACACCTTTTCAAATAACCCACATGCATTTTACATTCTCTTGAGCCTTACCTTAGTTCTTAGTTTACTGTAAAGTACTTTGCAACTGTGTCGTGAAAGGTGCTATACAGTTATTATGATCAACAATAATAATAATAACAACAACAACATCCCTGAAAACAAGTCTTTACCCTAAAAAATCCTTTGGAAGTAAAGATAAGTAATAAGCTATAGGAACAGGATTCATAGTTAATGATAAATGTATATGAGGACTCATGAAAACTGACCATAGTCTTCTTCACTCATGAACTGAGAGAAGAGTTCAGGACAGTTGACCTCGACCACCTCACCCATCCTGGCTGGCTGCCAACACGTCAGATTGTCCCAAAACCATGGGCAGTCTGAGGACACCACAGAAGGAGACAAAAAAAGCCATATGTTCATTCACTGCAGCCCATTTATCACTATTTCAAAATTGCACATCCATCAAAATCTCTTATTGTTGCCTACTTATCAGAGGCCATATCAAAAGAGTATCTTTTCTTTGCAATCAACAAACAGAGCAATGAATTAATCTTTCTGCGACATGCTGCTCTCAACCTATGCATTGTCGATATTGCTGCAGCCTTTAATGTGTGTGTGTATGTGTTTTTTTTTTTTTTTTTCCTGCCATCCAGTAGAGGCCACCGAGATTCACCATTACAGTTCCTTCTGCCTTGTATCTACTGACCACTGACTAGTTTGACCAATTTTGCAATCAGTCATTAATACAGGGCGATTTTACAAGCAGTTAAACTACCCCCAGCCTAAAAATCTGTGCACTACGGTGCTTCAGCTCTGAGCGCAACCAATATAATGATGATGGGTGCGTCAAAGAAACCTTTCTGACAAGACTCAGGTATCGGATCCAAATGCAGGACGCCGGCGTGGTAACAAACAAAGAATTTATTCACAATAAGTATGCAACATAAAACAAAAATTCCGTAGAGCCAAAAAACCTCTTTGTGGGTCACTAAACAAAAAATCACAGCAAAGCTGGAGAACAAAGTATCAAAACAAAGAAACAAGATTTCAGAATCACTTAGCTTGGGACAATGAACGATTAAGATGGCACAGGGACGGTACGTGAACATGACACACTGGCACAACATGAAAACAAGACAACAAAATAAAGGCATTCAACAGAAACAGGAAGATGACAGAACGAGTCTAACTTGAGCCCAGAGTTAACAATGACACTTTCAACTGGGGCTTGAGGTGGAAATCACATGTGCTTTTGTGTTGACTTTTCTACAACTTACATAAAAAGCCGATCTTGAATTTATGTTTACAGTACACATCTAGTGGTCCCTTGAGACAAGTGTCTGTATTCAGGATATTATCATCAGTGGTAGTTGTAACTGTTTTTTTGTGTGTGTTACTGCTGCATTAATAGGCTATTTGCTTCAAAGAAAAGTGCTGGTAGCTTAGTGTCCTGATCTGCAGTACTGGTTAAGCAGTTTACACTTGTCTTTTCAAGTGTCTTATGTCAAGACAAAGTCCAGAAGCCTTTTAATGTGCTTTTGGGGTGATGATGTACCTGAATCTGTTAGATAACTGATAAAAACACTACAAGATTAACTTCTGCAGAGACAAACCCACACAGAGTGTCTTCACGAGTCTACTGGGTGGAGTTAGGCCATAATGGGATTCAACTTCTTGGTTTGGCTCGATTACATAGGGTAGTGCTGTCAGCCAATCTCTCCCCTGGCTTCCACCTTGGTTGATGCATGATTTTTTTTGTACTTTGGTTAATTCCCTTCTAACATTGTCAAAATTAGTTTTCATTACAACTTGTGTGTGGTCTCCCCTCCTTTGTCCAGCCTTGATCTGGGTTGTGACCAACTTTTTTCACTTTATCACTTTAGTGACAATAGCCAATCTAATCTTAGCTAGGTAACTGAAAACTACCCATTACCTGATACATGTATTTTTGAACTAATGGATCAGCTATACATTTATGTTCAGCATATCAAATAACTTTTTGTATGACTACATGTGCTTTTATCACTTGAACTGTTTTCATCCATGTCGCTATACATTCTCATTCATCCTAGTCATGGTAATCCTAGAAGCTTTAGTAGAAATCAACTAGGTGTCTCTTGTAGGTTCATGAAGATGTTTCACCTCTCATCCAAGCAGCTTCTTCATTTCTAACTGACCAATGGGGAATGTCAGAATTTCATAGTCACTCCAGCTCACATGGCTAACGGCCCATTAACGACCAGGACTCATGTGATTTAAAGTGTGAATTACTGTGAAACCAGGTGGTTCAAAAACAATAACAGCAATAAGGGTGGTGGAGCTGCAGTTTACACAATGAAAGATATGAATCTGCTATGTCAGGAGTGACTCAAGATGGCAATGATTGCAAAACTGTCTGGGGAGAGACCTTATCACTGCGTTATAAGTGCTTGATAAGTGATATCACAGACCCTCTGTTTAGAGATGGCTGTTCCAATTAGACATACATACATAAATTGAAGAAAACACAGGTGGTCTAATATTTTTTTTCCATGACTATAGATTGGTTCCTTCACTCCTCACTTAAACCATCTTTCCTCTCTAAACAAAATGTGTACATTGCTGTCCTCACAGGAATGTCCCTTATCTTTCAAATGCAGGTGGACTGCTGAGTGTTCTCCTGAAGAGCTGCTCTCCTGTGTTGAGCCATACACTTGTGAAGCTGTTGTATAGTTTCCTGTATGTACAAGTTCTTTATTCACGTACACACTTTGCTGCATTGGACTGCATATACAACGTTCCTCCGCTTGCGTGGTGGGGTTTTGTCCTTGGGTTGAATCCGTTTTTGTCTCTGAGTGTTGATTTGTAAACTGCACCGGTATGTTACGTTTGGAGAAAATCCAGCTTTTTGGATGAGAGGTCAAATGTTTTCAAGACCAAAACAGGAAGTCCGCTGGATTTTTACTAAATCAAAGATAAGTCAAAAATGAGTGTGGTTAATTTTAAGGGGAATAACTGTTTAATTTGGCTTCATCTTTTTAGCTTACAGACTAATGTGGCAAACATTAAAATATGCAAACAGACACTGGTAACATTAACTCACATTACATCAAGCTTTTAAAAATCAGGCATTTACAATATGCAGATCAGCACCACCAGCTAAATAATCAACCACATTCCTGCAGGATAAGAAAAAGTGTCTGCTTAAAATGTGTGTTTTGGGTCTCACGGTTATCTCTGCAAGGATTTACCCATTTATAAGCAGCAGTGTGATACGTATGTGAAGGTAGACAAACATGAACACATATAGAACTGATCTTATTAAAGAGGTCCTCCAGATCTGCTTAGATTTATAATATTAAAACCTCTAGCTGATCCAAAGTAGAGTTTTTTTTGTTGCTTCCCATTGTCGCTTATTCAAAGGAAATCCGAAGGAATCTTTAAATATGTTGAGTTTTTTCTTTATAAAATTTGTATGATCTTTACCTTACTGTGTGAGGTGCTATGAGATTACATACTTTGTGATTTGCTGCTATCAAAATGATTTAGTGTCTTAGCTGTTAACAGTCAGAATTACAGCCAATAAGACCCTCAGAAAACTTAAATAAATGCCAAAACAGTTTTCTCCATGGCACCAAAACACAACATAACCTTTACCCCAAAACTGAGATAAATACTAGTTTTAGGTATCTGAAGGGGTTGATATGTATGTTCAAGTGTAAATTTAACATTATGTTTTGACTACTGGCTGCTAACAAAGAACAGTAGACAGACGAGCAGAATCAGCAAGTAATAATCCATGCACTGCTTTTAACCAGCTAGTGCAGCAAAGCCTTTTTCTGTAAACAATTTAACATGCATTTTGTCTTTAAACAACAGAACAGAACAGAAAGGAAAAAAATGTTCTGTATATTTTTGCTTTTACAGGGGCTTTCTACCTCACTGTGAGAGTCAGAAAACAAGTTCTCTGAAACAAGGTCAAGAAGGAGGCCTGGCAAAAATCCCCCCTTAATCTGATCTTTCCGTCATCCATCATCTATTCAGCTACAGAGACGCCTGTCACTCACTGATCAGCTTTCATTTTCTTGATCATCATCATAAGACGTTGAATACTATAGCCTTTGCCCCTCCCTCTCTCCAAATATAGAAGCACAGGATGGAAGAACAGAATTCATTTTCTGCTGTGTTACTGTGTCAGCCCTGCTTGAGTTTTTTTATACCACAAATCAAGCGCAGACACACACAGAGGCAAACGGTGAAGTCTTTCTAATGATATCTCTTTGCAGAAATACAGGCCAGAGTCAATGGCAGTTGATTATCTCAAGTTCATTCGACCTTGGAGATGTTCTTGGTAATAATCCTTGCTTTGTTTTTTTTTTTTAATTAGCTCATGTAGAAAAGTGTTATAACACAAACATGACAGTTGTTAGCATGAGGGTAAGGGGTCAAAAAACAACACAAACTCACAAAAACATACCAAATTCTGGACTAGGATATTCCAAGGCCATCATTTCCAAGCATTTCTCCTGCTCCCTCTTAATCACACAGTTTGTGGGGACCTGTTGGCTGGAAACCTGGAAAACAGCACAAACACATACCACAGAGAAGAAGAAGGAGAGTGAAGTAGATGAAGAGCACAGAGGAAGGACTCAAAGGTAAATTGGAAGAGGCTGCTTCATTAGCTTCTCTGTGTGGTTCACACCCCAGTGTGGGAGAGGTCTTAGCTCTGGGATCTGTTTAAACACTCAACCAATTAAACAAATGATTTCAGAGCTGCTGGCACTCTCCCCATGCTAACTGACCCAGAGGAGGGGCATTATTCTAATGCAAATGAGCCAGGAAAGACTTTCAGACATGCACTTTTCACACTGGACCGTGCCAGGCGTTACTCCCATCTGTTAAGGACCGCTGACAGATACACAGAGAGAACCATTTATACTGGTGCTCTCCAGCAGCTTCAACACAATAAAGGCGAGAGATCACAACGACAGCCAGAATCCCAGAGCTACAACTCGAGACATGGAGGTTACCTTCAGAGACACCTTCATTACAGGCCTTCTAACAGCTGCTTAGTGCCAGGCTGACGCAAGGACTGAGGAACGAGTGTGGTGACGATGGAGGTGGGTGTCTGGTAAGAACACGGTCTGGTGTCTCTGTGCTGGCGTCAGTGTGACACCATGTCTAAGCTTTATGAGGTGTAACAGGGGAACATTCATCCGCTGATGTCAACAGTGCTTGCTTGGGATTCATGCACTGAAGATTTAACAGTCATAGAGATACAGTAGTTGGGAGGCATTGTGTGGAACACGCACAAATCTGCTGGAAGATTTATGGGCTGCAATTTCTAGGAAGGACACCATAACTGTATTGATAAAGTTGAAGTGGGAGAAGTAAAAACACAGATGATTGAATTGATGACAGTCTTCAGTGTGTAAATGTTGATACTATTCTTTCCTAAAATATTTTGTCCATATGAGCTGGTTGCATAATGTGGTTTACAAGAAAAAAGATCTTTTATCTCTCTGAACTAAATAGACCCCTAGTGGGTTGACCAAATCTGAAAACAAAAACTACCCCCCCAGAATCTGAGGGGGTTTGGTTTTTCCAGCATTTTTCGGCTCTCATACAGGAGATACACAGGAAATCTTTTAGGGATGAAATACACATTTGAGCTCTGTTAAAAACTGTGCGGAAATCATTAACCTTTCATTCAAGGTGTCAGGCAGATCCAGGTATCTAAAGCCCAAACTTCAATTTTGTTCTGCACAATTTTTCTATATTCAACAATGAGCATCAGTATTATTGGATATATCATAGTTTCAACAGCAAAACTGCACCAGTTTAATGTCTATGACAGAGACTCATTGAAAGACACATGGTACCCTGGATGTGTTGTCTGTTTTCTGAAAATTTACTCAAGAAACTAAACTAGAAAGTGCATTTTGAGTACATTTTTGAGTAAAGGGTCATACCACCCTGTGGCATAGATGGTTGATCCATCCATCTATTAATCCATCCATCCATCCATCCATCCATCTATACACCACTTAATCCTCACTAGGATCACAGGGGGCTGGACCCTATCCCAGGCGACTCAGGGTGAAGCCAGGGGACACCCTGGGCAGGTCACCAGTCTATCATAGGGCTACACAGACAGACAAATATGGATACTCACATTCACACTGATGGAAAATTTAGAATCCCCAATCAACCTCAGCATGTTTTTGAACTGTGGGAGGAAGCTGTGGTACCTGGTGAGATCTGATGCTGCACTGGGAGAACATGCAATCTCCACACAGAAAGATCCCAGGTGTCCTAACTGGGACACAAACCTCTCTAGCTGTGAGGCGACTTTAAATCAGTGGTAATGTTGTCTTGTATTGACAACCATAACTCGTAAGAACTTTAAAGGCTTGATAATATGTAAGATAAAGTTTTAAACTGCCTCCACTAAATCCACCACAGAAAAGACTGCTTAGTAATTTCCACACACATCCCATTCAGTTGTAATGGTGAAAAGTTTACCAGTTGACATCTCAAAACAATAAACCATGTACTGAGGTACTTATAAAAATGTACATGACTGCTTGAGCTTTGGATGTAAACATAGAGGAAATATGTACCTGCCAGGTTTTGGGGAATAGTTAGGTTAGGCTGGTTACCATGCCACCCCATGTGTAGTTACAGAAGTATTGTTATTCTCATAAAAACACAGTACTGACAATGTCTTAAAAGTTTTAGGTTGAGAGCTAAGTTTTTTTCATAATATGCGCACAATGAGAGTCAGTCTGTGAGATAAGAGTTACTGCAAGTTCCCAAACCAGCAGAGATAAATGACATTACACAGCAATCTTTCTGATCTGGGTGGAGAAAAACATGTCCCATATTAATGTGGGATGTATGCATCACTAGAAACATGGTCAAATGTCAGAGGAATATTTTTTATGGTTTCAGAACAGTTATATAGCAAGGAACACATCACTGAGAAGAGATGACAATCTCATCCAACGCAATAGAGGCTTTGAACCAGAAACAGAACTATCCAAAAGTTGATGTGTAAACAGCAAGCCTGTAGACTGAATACATTTTGCAGATATTAGTATTGAATTCCTCTTGATCAAAGAAAATTTTAGGTATCTCAAACGTCATTCTTAATCTGCAGCAGTTGTGACTTCATTTTTAAAACTCATAATTCCAGTTGAAGATCTCTTTAGTTTCCTTCAATCACGATATCTACATGTCCTTTTTAGATATCTTGAATTAAGTCTGAGCTAGTCAGAATGACGTAGATATTTTTGTTTTGATATTTTGTTTGTTCTTCATAAACTCCTTGTTGATGTGCTCTTTCCATTTCACTGCATTTTGCAATGATCTTATTCATCACAGCATCTGCCATTACTTCTGTTAAGACTTTTAATTCGGAAAAAAAAAAAACAAAAAAAAACGTTTTAACAGAAGTAATCGCGGTCAAAGGACATTTGGGCAAAATGTCAAAAAACCTCTGCGCATTGATAAGTTAAATAATTGGAGTGATAACCTGCTCATAACAGTTGAGTTTCTGTATTTGAGATTTGGCACCTAACTAACCAAAGTTGATGTAATACTGTTAAGATGTTTAAAATAGTACAGTATGAGATGTGATTCAGACCTTGGCTGTCAGTGTTAAAATGCTTCATGTTTTAGACACACATCCACCTTTCTGACCTCCACATTTTCACTTTGCATCACTTTAGACTTCACTCTTTGACACTGAACTCTGCCAACAAACATCACTCTTTGATCCTGATTAAGTTGATATGATCCCAGGCAACAGCATTGAAAATGATGGGTGTTTGAAGCAGCAGGAAAGCCAAATAAACCGCTAGTCTTGAAAGTGTAAAGAAGTTTTTTTTTTTGTTTTTTTTGCTGAAGTGTTTATTTCTCTGCTGTGTAACCTCATGGGACTAATTATATCATATCTATCTGCCCTGAATCACTGTACTGAATCTAATTAGGTCAAACATTGCATGCCCAGCATGATCAGGTTCACACTACATACACATGGCTTTATGTATGTGCATGTACACCTGTGTAATGACTGCTAAATGATCACACAGCTTATAGGGTGTCATACAGTATATAAGAGCGGTTCAGCTGCTGGACCACACAGAATACTGCGTAGTTTTCATAATTCAAAATTCTATAACGTCAGTCTTGCATGCCATTTGTTGTTGCAGCTGTTATGGAAATATTCAGAAGAAAAGCACCCCTACACTTAGCAAGAACTGTCAACACTTGTTGTGTTTTTGGTATTTTAATAAAAAAAACAAAAACAAACAGTTACCTACATAGGCAGTGCTACAGATGTTTCTAGAAATACATTTACTGGTGACTAAAATCTATCCAAGATATTATCTGAGTTTTAATTGAGAAACCTCATTAACAAATCACTCTTTTGAAACCAGATACTAAGTAACCAAGAACTTGGAAAGCCTTTATACACAAGCATAGTCATTTCATAAAAAAATAACTGTCAGTGTCACATCTCTACATAAACCAGTTGCTGCACCACAGTACAAGATACTGTGTAATCCAGTACAAACAAATCACAAAATGATTATTCTGGACAAAGACTAGCATGCATTTTCTTCCCACTCTGCCTTCCCCTATTTCATCCCCCTTGCAGTCATTCAGAAGGTGTATCTGCTGCTCATGTTCTCAGTTTCTCTGACAACACTTCAGCTTGAGGGCGATGACTCACATTTAACCGCAGTAATAAAATAACTTTCTTCACAGGTTTTCATGGAGCAGAGGAGAGGAGGTCCTTTTTCTTTCTCACACAGTTAACAGACAGGAATAATATTGAACAAACAATGAATAAATGATGAGAACGCATCGTTATCCACCGTTCCTGCCGCACGCTGATCAATGAATTATTGATGATGACACTCCATATGGTTACTCTAACAAAGTGAATGACTCGTGTGAAAATCAATCCCTGTTTACTGAATTTATTTAGATGAAGCTCCACCTGCTGCTGAGTCTGTTTGCGTGTTGATGTTTTAGCTGCACGTACACAGGAGCGGTCACTCACATATACACAGAGATAAACCATAGGTAGATAAATTGTCCTCTAGCCTTAAAATAAAATTGTTCTGAATATGGTTTCTTTTATAAAGGACCAGTAAGTAGGATTTAGTAGCACATCGCAGCGAGAGTGCAGACTGCAACGAACAGAAGACAACTTTTTCACCTCTGGCCATGTGTATAGAAAACCTAAGGTGGCTTCTATGTCAATGCAAAAGGCAGAAACCTCTCTCTAGACACAATGTTTGGTTTGCTGTTCTGGAAACTGTAGAAGCATAGGGGTGCCCCACAGTGGACTCTGTATATGGACTTGATATGAAGAACTAGTTCTAAGCTGATGAGGATGCAACTATTCATAGTTACAGGCGATTTCCACGAATGTAGACACAATTATAATTACTGTGTAAGCAACAACAACAACACCAAAAACAAAAACTAGGAAAAACAACTTACAGAGGGAGAAAGGAAAATGAGGGTGAGGGTCAGCAGGCTGATGATTGCAGCAGACATTTTTAACTTCTCAGTCAGGAGTTTCCTCTAAACATGGAGCTCCTACAGCTGCACAGATGAACACTATTGGGCATCAGTTCACCTCAGGATCTGAAAAACACAAGAGTGTAGTAAGTAAGAGACAGGACGCCATCTTATTAAGACATTTGTATACATTCAAAGTATCCATCACATTGAATCACCACATTTTAAGTGTCTGTATACATCTCTGCAGAGCAAATCCAAACAGCAAAGCACTCAGAGTCAAAATGTTTATAAAAATGTCCATTAGAGTCTGCTGGGCTCTAAAACTGTCTTTAAGTAAGTATGTGATACGTGTTTATGGTAAAGCATTACAGTCAAAATTCCTATATTCCTCCTTACTCCAAATCATTATATTTCTCTGTAGGTGTTTTTAGACAAATATTTGTAGACACACTTTTCCTAATTTCATTGTGACAAGCCACAAAAACATGCATTACCACTCTGTCATCACAGCAGGATATAGGTGCACAAAGACGCTCTCCTGTGACCAGCACTGTGATAAGGATGAACTAATATCATCAGGTTGGTGTGCTAGTGGCACGACAGAAAGTTACATTTTTAAAAGCTCTTTGTCTATCTTTCCTGCCACCTTATTTCTCTGTTTCAGTAATAACAGCTTGTTACGTCCCCTTTGTTGCATATCAAGCATTCTATTGTGCTCTTTTCCCACTGGCAGTATGAGTGTAAGCAGTTTTAATTGGGAATAAAAACAATGCACTTGCATCACAGATTTAGCAGAACCTGTGTAGAGATACAATTGTTCAATAAAAAATGGTTGGGACATAAATATATAAACACACTTGGCACCGTTTGGCCAGTGAGTCAGTGAACAGCTGCAGGTTTCTAAAAGCAGCACACCTCTACCATGCCATCAAGGTTAACAGCTTCTTGTACTTTGCTTGCTGTGCAGTAGAGAACAATCCAGCTGCAACAGCACAGCTTGAACTGTTGCAGTTGTTCATTGATCAGTTCTTTGCAAATGAAAGAGACAGTTTTACTGTCTGAAACATCATATTCTAGATATTGTGTAAAAATGTTGAACTGCACCTGGATCCAAATTTGCACCAAAGTGAAGCTGTGATGCACAATCATTGCACAAGTTCATAAGAGAAAGTTAATAAAACATTCTCTGTCTCTCAATGTTTGAAATTTTAAAAAAAGAAGAAAAAAAAGTTATATTAACTTAATTATACACTGTTTCTTGCTTTTGTCTCTACCTAAAACAGCTAATTGGCAACAAAACAGAAATAAATCAATAAATTAGAAACTACCTCTTCTTTAAGCAACACCATACATTCCCTAGTCTCAGCTTGTAATATTTGATCATTTTCTTCATCTGACCAACATCTTCAGAAAGACAACATCAGCTGCTTTGAATTTTTGAACCTTTTAAAAACAAGTATTCAGCAAATTCAGTACACATCTACTTACAGCAACAGCAGAAAACCATGACAAACTGCTGCTATCCAATTAAATGACTGAGTTTTCCAACTATAAATGTGAACAAGCATGTCTAGTTGTGTGTCTGTAATGAGCCAATGTGCATGTATGTGTGAGTTCTCATGGATGCAGCATGACGCTGCAGGCCTGGAGGGTTCGCATGAACAAAGCCAAGTAGCAGGACTGAGCGCTCAGGCCTTGTCCCACAGGGAGAGCTTGGCAGCTTGGCATTCCAGCTCTACCAAAACTCTGCCAGCACCAAGTCCCTCCTCTTGCCGTTGTCAAGAGCAACAGCTGAGAGAGCTGCTGAGTTTGGACTTGAAGTGGACCACGTGGACCTGGAACCTCCCTCTGCTCCTTCTTCTGCTCTTTTGTAAATAGCCTCTCTTACATTTGATGATATGCTTATTTCTGTTTGTTTTTGTACGTGATAATAAACAGTTAACCTTCACTAAAACTAAAATTTCAGTGGAAACATACTACTGCATTTCAGTTTTAATATGAATTCGGCACTCTAAGCATTAATTCATCGCAGCCATCCACAAACAGTACCTTCATTCATATTTTGCGAAAGTAAGTCATCGAAGGACACCCACACCAAAAAACAAACCAGAAACATAACAAAACAAGACACAACATGAATGGGAGTCTGCAGCATTGCCAAGGCCACCATAATGGCTGCTGATGCTCTTCCATAGAAAAGCTTTCATGGTGAGTGCCTCAGCACAGACTGCCATTAATCCATTTCTGAGGAGAAAAAAAACAAACCCATTCAGTGTTACACCACCAAAGTACTGATGGTATACTTCCACAGTGGAGAGGTTAGGTGCAGGAAAACAGAAAAAAAAAATTACACACTTAATAAGAAATTAGATATTGAAGGTCTGAGCAAACCATCTATCTTTATACTGAACAATTTTGGAATAAGCTCATATTTCTGCCTATGAGACCAAAGTTGTAGTATGGCAATGCCTTATTCATTTTTTCTCCTTTATTTCAGTAGGAACAGTGTAGAGATGGGAAATGCTTGTGAGAGGGCAGGGGAGTGACATGCAGCAAATGGTTTGGCTGGCTGGGAATCTGCTGCTCAGGGCGTATGTGCCCATATGGTATGTGCTCTAACCACCCGGCTATCAGATCGCTTTGAATTACTCATATTCAGACACAGTGCATCAGTCTGTTGACTAGCCAACTGTGTTAATTCAAATGGCAGAGAATTCACCTATTACTCGAATCTCTAGTTACAGCCACAGTACTGTGGGAAACCTTTAGGCGTTTTACATGTTTAGATTCTTGTCCATCACAGGGCGCCATCAGGGAGGCATCAGATTTGTGTCCAATTGTTTTTGTGACAGGACAATGAAACTAAACTTGCTGCCACTTTCATAAAAAACTATCTTTGCATAAGAGCAAAAAACCCTGCTGAGTCCTGATCTGCACAGTCATCCTGTGAATATAGAGAAAGACTGTTTTTTTAATTATAGACATTTGTATCTTCATTGCAAAGACACTGCCTTTTACCGTCATCATTTTGAATACTTGATCATCTTTGAGTAGCTTTCTAGGACAATATTTACTGTACAATATGTTCCATTTTAACTAAGATTTATTTTTACTTGAAAAACATTTCCAGTCTCTTCCAGGTTGTATACAGCCCGAACACAGGCATGGGCAACACTTCAGCTACATAGAACAAATGCAGACTGTTACAGAAGAAGATGTGTCACAGAATTTATCTTAGTTTTTATTTTTTTCTTGCTACACCTGCAGTGACATGTGCGAGTTACAGGGAAAACAAGATGATAAGCTCTCATTTTGGGGTTGTCATGTCTTTAGACAAGACTAGACTTTTTAAGGGATAAAGTATAGTAAGGAACTGCCTGCAAAATAAAAGCCCCCAGGGTGATCAAGACTGAAATGGAGGCTGTATTTGACACAAAGTAGTAATTTCAGGTATACTGGGAGTTTAATTTATATATATAAAAAAGACACTTTATGATCCATTTCTGTGTCATAGGGCTGCACACACCTCTCATGAAACATAAATATGATACCTATTTTTACATGTACACAGTGTAAGACTGTGGTGTGTGTGTGTATACAGCTACATGCTTCTGTCATGCCTGGTATAGACATTTGCAGACCCAGACACATGCAGGTGAATTAAATAAGAGTTTTTTAAATGACAAGTTAAACAGAAACTATTGTTTGGGGAGGATGCTAAGCTGAGAAGGAAAACAGAATGAGGAAAACAAGACTGAAATCAGAAAAGGGGCAAAATACAAAAAACGATGAAAAACTCTAAATTAACACCACGGGGGAAACCAAACAAACAAAACGGGGATACTCACAAAACGGTTAAAAACTGAAGAGGGCAGACAGGCTCGTGAAATCTGGGATCTGACGAGGGTTGGGGAAAAGCTGGAACAAGGCTGGGGGCAGGTAAAGGCTAGCTGGGGGAATGCAGGCTGGAAGCAGGTTGGGGATCAGTGGCAGGAGAAGGCGGGCAGCAGGGACGATCCAGGGGGAGAGTGTGTTGCTGATGCAGGGGGGGTCCAGGTGGCAGCAGCTCAGGAAAGGCAGGGGGACCAGCAGAAACACAGGGGATGAAGGTCTATGGTCTGCCAGGGTGTGGTGGAATGAACAGGGCTTTATAGCAGGAGGTGGATGATTGAGTTCAGGTGAGCTGATCCCTACATCTATCTCCAATATCTGTAATCAGGCAGGCTGAGCAGGGCTGGATGGACTGGGGGTGAGCAAGGAGGAGAGAGAGAGGCAGAGAGGAGGGAGAAGAGAGGGAGAAAAAGAGGGAAACAGGAAAGGACTGGGGCTGAGGCTGAAGGTCATGACAGAGACTGCTGTTAGTGTTAACATACTCCAACATGACGCCATCAAACCCTTTCAGTTAACTGCTGCTTCCACTGCTGTTGCTTTGATCTCTTTTCTTCCAGTCGACATTGGGCAGGTGAAACACCATCTCCAGGACAACCAAGCATTAGCTTCATTAGTTGTAGTTCTACAGCTGGGGTCACTTTCATCCAAAGATACATGCAGGTTGTCCAGTTCTGGCATCACCAGGCCCACTCTTTGTAGCAACAGTTTTCCTTCCCAGTCTATAGCAGAACACCACCAGTTTCCTGAGGTACTGGCAGAATGCCCAGTCACTTTTTCATCTCAATTCTCAGACTCTTACCTTCTATTTTATTCTGCAATAAATGATCCAATAAATGCTCATCAAACTGGAATGACTTGTGGTTGTCCTGGTATTGGTTCTGTGTGAGTTCCAAAAAAGTGAGCTGCAAACACATAGGTGAACCAGTGTACACTGACTAATATGCAGGTGATTAGACCAGCCAGCATGTATCCTCTGATGGAGATCTCTAATGCAGTAAGCAAAATGGCTGTTCCAGGCAGCTAATTTCATGCGTTAGAAAGGCGCTGCTGCTTTTTGCCCTGCTGTATGCTGTTTTGTGCAACTCACTGTAGTTGGTTTTGCAAATTCAAATAAAAGGAATTTGCTCAACTTAATACTCCAACAAAGGTCTTT